GCTCTCGAGCTCGACTCGTGAGAGTACTTGTGATCTGTTGAGGACGGGTGGAAAAGAACGCAAGTATCGTGGTCGTGCGAGGTTTGCCGATGCTCTTGCAGTTTTATTCTTGATCGGAGGACGCACTTTTGGAGCAACGCAAGGAGGCAGCAGCACATCAGGATAAAGGTCCGACACAACAACTGCCACGTCATCAGGTCGACATCCGTGGCAGTTCTGGTTGTTGTGTTTCCTTATTCCCTTGCATGCACAGGCCAGTTCTTTCTTTTTTCGTGCCACCCATCTATCTAGCAGTATCTAGCTATCTATCTATCTCTTCCTCCCTTCCTCTCCCTCTCCGACGCCTGAATTACACATACCTTGGAACGCCATAAGTCCCAGGCCTGTTCACAGAGCTTCTCGCTGCATGCGAGCTGGGGTGTTGAATTCCGACAAACGAGGTAGGCTTTCGGCTGTCAAAACAAAAACGATGAACCCCAGAGCAAGCTGGAGCCAGACGGTTTAAGGTTGAAGTTCACCAACGGACCTCCGAATCCCGAAACGCAGAGGCTCTTTAGGTGTCGAGTTCCATTACCTCGAAAATGACCCTATAGACTCCCTCCGGCTTTGTGCTGTTATGCCCCGGCACAGGTCAGCACGGACGAGAGTGCCAGGCTAGTAGCCCTTGAGGCGGGCCAGGGGGAAGAACACCCTGAACCCTCAGACAATCAAAAGATAGCGCCCTCTCTACTCGCGCGAATGACTGGTCATGTTGTTCCCCCACCACTGCCTTCTGCCACTGCCATAGGCCTTCAGCTTACAGCCTTAGCGGCTTTGCCGTGAGCCCTGAGCTCTACAGGGCTGAGGGTGGAGCTTGCCTTCGTGCGAAGATTTGATGCAGACCAGAACGGCACAAGTAAGATTGACCACTGTGCTTAGCATAATCTGCACAGGCACGGGCTGTTTGATTTTGGGTCTTAAGCTTAATGCGTTGGGAGTTTGAATGGCGGGTTTGACATTGCTCGGGCTGGTCGAACATTACTGGAAGTGAGCCAGAAAAGGGTGGTCCGAGTCGTTCGCCCTGTGACCCCGTACATCAGCGATGCCAAACAAGATGCTACACACCAAAGTGACGACGAGGTGCGTGACTAATGTAGAACCTTTTGGTCCAAAACCTGCTTGGCTCCTGCAGGAGACACTCCACGATAGGGTGATCGGGCAGGAAGAGGCCGTGACTGCTGTCTCCAAGGCCAGAGAATGGGACGCACATGTTCAGCGCCTTTACTAATTAGAGGCACGCTACTGCATTCTCACTCTTCCACAGTGTCTGCTACTATCATCAAGACTCTCCGTACTGCTACTTTTGTTAAGACTTGCTCAGTTGTCATTGTAATTTATGTTTTTTTGCTCCTCAGCCTGGATTCACTGCTGTTGGTAGTACTGTTGCTGCCTCGACCACCGCCGCCACCACAACCAACACGACGACGACGATGACGACGCCGACACTGACGACCGAAACCACCATCACCACCGCCGCCGCCGCCGCCACCGCCACCGCGACCGCGACCACGGCCTCGACCCTAACCCCGACCACGACCATTACCATGTCTATTACTACTACGACTACGACCAGTGCCACCTCCTACTACGGCTGCTCCTGCTGCCTGCTGCTGCTCCGACTAGTACTTGCTGCTACTACTACTTGCTACTACCTACTACTACTACTACTACTACTACTACTACTGCTACTACTACTACTACTACTACTACTACGACGACGACTACTACGACTACCACTATCATTATTACGACTACTACTACTACTACTACTACTACTACCACTACTACTACTACTACTACTACTACTACTACTACTACTACTACTTCCTATTCTGACGCATGCTCCTACTCGCGCTTCTACTCCTATTCCTACCCGTGCTCCTATCCCGACAACTAACGGATCGTAGAGGAGTTCGAATTATTCTAGTCGGAATAGCAGCGAACAATGCGCTGTGTCAATAGGCAGCATCAGAGTGGCAATGGGCACGCTTGTGGGAGTCATAGTCTGAACGGCACCCACAGTCCCGAGCCCCAAATTTCCAGACGGCGATCGGGACGCAGGCTGTCCGCCGAGCCCGTTCTGGGCTGAAGAACCCGAACCGGCCTATCGCGACTCGGCTGTCAGGATTTCCAGTGGGCGTAGGACCTCGGACGCACCTGCGCCTGCTTTAAGTCAGTTTCATGCCGGCAGCCGTAGCCCCAAACGGGTCATACATTAGAGGTCCTGCCCATGCTGTTCCAGCGAATTTAGCCCTCTAAGCCCAGATGTATCCACATTTGGTTTCTGGCTACAGCGAAAACATCGTTCTTGATGAAACTGCCATCATTATGGTGGTCGACTGCCCGAAGTCTCGAATCTGACATGCACGGTGATTCTTCAACCCAGAGCAAGTACACATGGGTGAACCATGGACCCTACATGCCCAAACAAGGCCTCGTTCATCTTCTGTGGCCCCACGGGTGTGGGCAAGACGGAGCTGTGCAAGGCCTTCAAGAGGGGAAGTCGTGCAAGCAGCGCCAGCTTTCAAGATCGTTCGAAGGGCTGCTGTTGGTAATCCTGCACCACTCCTGAAGAGCTTCACCTCGAACTCCTGAAACTCTTGCCGAAACCTGCTCGCACCTGCCGCATCTTATCATGTAATTGAGATGCAGTGCGCCTGAACTCCTGCGCAAAGCCACTGCACTTGCAAGGCGTTGTCCGCGGCGTACTTCGGCAAGGAGGATGCCATGATCCGCCTGGACATGAGCGAGCCGTGGCAGAATGGCGCTATGCATTGACTTTGGGGTCTTGTGGTGAAGGGAACAAAATCATGATTAAGACGACTAAGAGCTGGACAGCGATTGCCACGACACCGCCGCAACTGCCGCCACTTTTCCTGCCCTCCAGGATCTCAGGATTCCAGGTTGGAAGAGGTGCACCGAGCACAGATCCCCTTTCTTAGTTCACCGGATTTCGTGTGGAGGTTTCTCTCGTCCGAAGGCAGCATGAAATCCAACTTCATCCCCATTATTTCACCCCTGAATGGCTCTCTTAAGATGCGAGATGCGAGACGCCTCGGCCGAAGCCTAACCTCCAAAACAGAAGCTGGTTCTCAAAAACCCGCAAACCCTACATGCATCCTGTGCTGAAGCTCGAGAGCCCGACCTCAGGAATTCATGGAGAGGCCGGGCCAAGTAGTTCAGAAGCTCCACTTGCGGGGTTGTGGAAGTGAAATAGTATATCTCGATATGGTTAGATTGCTGGAAGAAGCTCTTTTAATCTTGTCTGGCCAGATTGGAATCTATCCCCTATTCTCAGTACCTAGGCCAAATAGTGTGGGGACGGGCCCCCAATGTCATTTCTTCCACAGGACGGGTGGGTTTGGCTCTCCTTTGTCAGGTTAGTAAGTTGAGCCGCCCAAAAAAAGGCACAATTGCCTGCTGCCCGACAGGGCTGAGCTGTACGACTCCGTAGGGTTTGAAGCTTGAGGGTTTAGACCCTGGTGCTTGCATGCCTTGGCGTTGCAGGCTTTGTCGTTCAAGCTTTGGGGGTCTTTGTGTTTTAGGCATTCGGCTCGGACACGCCATGTGCGTAGCTGTCGGCACTCAAACGTACAAGTCATTCCTGGGCTGCTTCACACGCAAAATGGAGCACCGTTCCGCGAGTCCATCAGGGTGTCAACTGTGCAAACAGCGGGTTTCAACTTTTCAGGACTTGCGAATTGAATTGTGGTGGTGTCAAGTGGACGCTGGAAGACAGGCGAATCGCAAGTACCATTCTCGTCCCTCTCGTCGCCTTTCTGCACATTAGTTGTATTGCTGTTGTATATGTCACTGCCAAAGTAGTCAGCTAGTGTTGGCCATAGCTCCCATTCACTGTTATGGTTGGCAGCAAAGGGCTACCTTGGAGTCTTGCCATTGTCGTCGTTGTCTGCAATACAAGAGCGGCTGAATCTACTGGTTGTTGTTGCTGCTGCTTTTTGGGTCTTGCATCGCCAAGACTCGCACGAATGCTCTGCATGGGGAGGCACACGGTCTCCAAACTTATTGGCAGCCCGCCCGGCTACGTTGGCTACGACGAGGCCGGGCCAGGGGACATGCGCCTGGACCCTTGCTTCTGCCAGGGCTTTGCTCAAGAAAGGTTCAAGTAAAACGAAAACTCTGGATGAAGGTTTGCTTTCTGTCCTGGCAGTTGTTTTAGCAGTCTGTTCAGTCCAAACGTATGTGTGCGTTGCCTTGTTCAGCATGCATGCCGGCAGACCATCGGGTAGAGCATGCAGTTCCCTCACTACAGCCAGCTATGCTCAGCATGAGGTTGCTGCGTCAGTTGCTACAACTTCTGGACTGCACTCGTGTTTTGGTCCTCTTCGGGTGCTCCGAAGTGGGAGCTCTGAAGTGGTGTCTAACCAGCTAGGGACAACTAGGAGTCTCTGATCTACGGGTCCTCAAAGTGAGGATCCTACTCTTAGGATCGCCAGCTTTCCGAAACTCTGCTAAAGGACTCCGGTCTAGGGTTTAGGTGTGTTGCCGAATGGGTGAACCTCGCCGGGTCATGAGCAGAGTCTCCAAACCCCAAAGTCCTCAAAAGCCCCAAAACACCAACCCCAAATCCTGCACACTCAAGCTGAAATTCACGGAACTGTCACTGTCACATAGCCCGTAAGTTCGGCTCAGAGCGTGTGAACCTTGGGTCTTCATACTGCCGGGGAGGAAAGTCAGCTGACCGACGGCGTGCGCAGGAGGCCGTACAGTTTAGTCCTCTTCGACGAGGTGGGCTCAGCCGAAGAATTTTCAGATTTATTTAGGGGTATGGGTTTGGTTTTTAAGACAGGGGGGTGTCAGGGTTTTCGGGTCGGAGTAGCCCGCAGAACCTAGAGCAATTCCTCGGCGCAGCGAGATTTCAATGAGCCAAATGCTGGTGCTGCTGAACCCAAAGCCAGTAATCTCAAAGTCACCCTCAGCCGCCCGCCCGAGACGCTTTGATGACTTTGTGCCCCAGAAGCCATCTGAAGACATTGGCCCAGGTGGAAAAGGCACATCCCGACGTCTTCAACCTCTGCCTGCAGATCCTCGAGGCAAGCTCGAAGAAATGGTGGCGGTTTTGGACTTTGGATTTCAGGGCTTGGAGTATTTTGCAGAGCGGATGCTTGCATACTATCTTGAGGGAGCATTGGGGTGAGAATTGTTCGCCGACTCAGGGCTCTTGTCTCGGATCTTGGGTATATAAGTTCTGGAATCCAAAGGCAGGGTCGGTGGTTTGTAAAAGTTGGGAGGAGCAGCCATGCCTTTTCTGCCTTTTGAACCGATGGCGGTGGGAGGTGGGCTGTAAGCTGCGTGCCGCAGTGCTGGGAAGACACGATGGAAGAGAGTAGCTGTGGTACACGTCATCATTGTAACCACTGTAAATTATGTGGTGGAGCATACTCATGCCAGATACCCACTCAGAAGTGCTCGCTGCAGGACGGCCGTCTCACTGACTCGAAGGGGCGGACGGTGTCATTTAAGAACGTGACTTTGGCAGCACCTAGCCATGTTATCCCAGCTGCTGAAGTGGAGATGGAGAAGACGGACGGCATGAGTATTGCTGTGTTGGCAGTAGCAGCACTGCAAACATCACACGAAGTGTAAAGTTTGTGAAGAGCAATGAACTCAGCAATCACTATCTCAGCCTAACTGAGACCTTGATCATCATGACCTCGAACGTCGGCGCCAAGGCTCGTTTCAAGGGGTGTTGGGCTGTCGGTAAGAGCCTAGGTGTCACGGAAGCGACACACCCGCCTCGTTTTCCAAGCGTCCGTCGGGTAGTACTTCCGTTGGTTTCGAAGAGAGGGTCCGTCACTAGTTCAACGAATCTGCCGGCAATGACATGGGCATGCATGCTACAACCTAGGTAAGCAGTGTTCTTTCGCTGCCTGATCTGTGGTGTTGGGATTATTGCGCGAGGCGATCGAGAAGGGTCTCTTGGGCGGAGGCGGCCTTGGGTGATGACCCCAGTCTCTGTGGCGGGTTCTCATGGGAAGATGAACGGTTCCCTAGTTTTAATACCAAGGTTTCCTAGTCGTTACGAGAGCAAATGCCTTGCACGGTTCGATGCCTGTGGTTCTGGCTTGTGTTTATTCGCGACGTTGCCTTAATTACGTCGCGGCAAAGAAAACGACGGGTTGGCAGCGGTTGGCAGCTGTCTTTGTCATACTTGTCTGAGAAATCAGGAAATTTCAGTGGTGAAGTTTCAGTTCCTGTGCGCAGCTTGTGTGCAAACCCCCAAGATGGATCCTCACGATTCCATTTTCAGTCTGAGCCGAACCTCTCTTGGCTTTCAGGTTCGCTGGGCTTGAGGACGACGTCGACACCTCCAACTACCAGAGGCAACCCGTGCAAATTCCACAAGACAAGGGCATGCCAGGGTTGTTTTTGCACTGCAGCTCACCTAGGACGTAGGACCAACTAACAACAGGACCCGAAGTTCAGGGCAACAGGGCGCGCATGTGGCGTCACTTTGCAGCCTGTCTTTCGATCGTGAAGCATGAGCCACTACCAGCTAGTTTCTCGAAAGGCTGAACATTCCAAGCCGCACTTTCAGCCTCGAATCCGAAACCCAAGGCCTCAAGCCCTCGATCTCAAAGGTTCCCCTAAGTCCGAACCCTGTTGCGGTGCTCGTTCGGTGCGCTGCCAACAGAAGCTTCCGACATGGGACCACCGTCTTAAAACCATCCTGAACCCTAAGAATTTTCGCACGGAAACCCAAAATCTGAAAGTGAAAGTCATGACCCCGGATCCCGAAACATGAAGCCGTGGTGCCTTGACCGAACCTAGCGCGTCCAGAGGTTGAAGACCGTCGTGCATGACGAGCTCAAGAACTTCTTCCGACCAGCCTCTTTGAGTCACAATTGGCTTGTTTGAGGTTTTGTGCAGGTTTCATGAAAGAGCTGAACTCGCTAAAGATTCGTTGGGTGGCGTTTCACTGGAAGTTGTAGAAGTAAGGCAGGCGTTAAAGTTACTTGGTATATGTTAGTTCAAGGGCTCAAGATGTAGAGTCTGACATGGGGTATGGCTTCAGTCCGCATTAGGACTGTGCATGTCGTCGCACATCTCCAAGAGAAGCCCTACGTCCGCAGCGTCTGAACGCCCTACGCGCTACGCCCGACAACCCAAATCGCACATCTCGATGCAGAGTCCCAAGGGCTTGAATAACACAAGCATAGCTTACCAGCGGAAGATCCAAGGAGTTCTTGAACCGACTGGACGAGGTCGGCAAGCTTCTGTGTCTTCTGAGATTTTAGCCCCTGTTTGATTCTTCCCCTAAGCCCGACGGCTCGACGGCCATGTGGGAGACCTGCATGGCCAGAACGATCGATTCAGCATCCCCAGGGGCAGTTCTAGATTGCCTTTTGTGTGATTGGGTCTTTCTTGCCTGTGGCTGTCTCCGGGTCTGCTGCCGGCAAAGCTTCAAGCTCGATGCACTGCGGCTAGGCCGTGATGCCGCGGACCCACATACTATTGCGCAAGAATCCCTCAATGTATGTCCAAAATAGGTCGCAAGTCCATCGCCCCAACGAAATAAAAGCAAGAGCCAAACGAAAGAGATTGAATCCTGCCAAGGCCCGCAACAGCCAAATGCCAGATCCTCAACCCAGGTCCGCAACCTCATCGACCACATAACAGTGAGCTCCAAGAAGTTTAAGCCCAAAGGCCACCTCCTCAAGCGCAAACAGCTAACAATCTGGAGTGCTCTGCCAGATCATCGTCTTCAAGTCCCTGAACAAGCAGGAGGTGGATCTCATTTTGGGACCGTGGGTTGGAGGGTACTGAGCAGGTGGCTGGGCGATGCCGACACAGGAGATCACCAGGTCTTCCGAAGCTGCCCTAGACATCGAAGGTGTGCCTGCTCCACTCGGATTTATCTGAATGTACTTTAGCCCAAACCCGGCATACAAAAATTTTCAAACCTGAAGCCCCGAGCCGAAAACCCGAAATCTGAGATTCGAATAGCCCCTAACTGATGAAGCCAAGCCCCTTGAAAGAAAGAGCCAGGTCGCTCAGATCGCGGAGCTGGAATTCAGGACGCGGCTGCAGCCTGGGAGGGTGCACTGGTGCGGCTTGCAGGTTCTATCATTGGGGCTTTGAAAGATGACCTCGGTTCGGCACCCTCGTTGCGGTTGCTTGGCATTGGGGATTTACGGCGCACCGAGATTTTTCGCCTGGCGCAGCCAGCTTTCTGCAGGAAAGTCTTGAAGCTGTGCGTGGAGAAGGGCATCAAGCTCTCCATGACAGATCGATTCAAGAAGAAGGCCACGCCCGCTGTGAAATCGAAACCTGGTTCATCTTGAGGCGAGACACGATGGCAGGAAGATTCGTGGAGCTGAGCATGGCATCAATAGAAGACGCAGCAGTCGGTTGAGAGTCCAGATTTGGGCAGGACTTTCAGGCCTCTGGTTGTGGTCTCTGAGGTTGGGACGTTGTACGAGAGTTTTTGTTTATTTCAGTTCAGGGCTTGCTATTCCCGCGGTATCGAGTTCGCAGGTGACGAGCTGGCAAGATCTTTCTCCACCAGAGCTGCCTAAACTCGAAACCCTAAACACGAAGCCTTGGGTGCACTCTTGGCGAGGTAGTGGATGAGGGCTTCAACCCAGTCTATGGGGCCCGGCCCCTGAGACGAGCCATCACCAGACTCTTGGAGGACGCCTCAAAGCGATCAGAGCTCAAGTGTCCCTGCGGGTGTGGGGATGCTCAGTTGTTCTGGGATTGAGGCTTCCAGGGGGTCTGGCTCAGCTCGTCCCATCGCTGATCCTAGAGAAGGTGAGAGAAGATGAGGGGATCAGGCAGCAGAGGAAGAATTTGGGGGTATGCTGCTGCTGCTGCTGCTGGTGATGAGGATGAAGATGGTGAGCATGAGGGTAGCGATGATGATAGCGATGGCGATGGTAGTGGCGGTGGTGACGGTGACGGTGATAGAAGCCGACGAGACGACGGGAGCAGCAGCAGCAGCCGCCGCCGCCACTACAAGGGGCAATGCGCATAAGAGTCAGCCCAGGCCCTTGGAGTGAAATTTCAGAAGTCCGAAATCCCAAGCCCCTGTCGTGAAGCTGGGGCCGATAGGACAAGCTCGCAGAGTCCCTCCTGGAGATGTATCGGCCACGGCACTTCCGCGGGCAGAATTCTTTAAGGTTTCGTCGCTGTCAAATCCGGGGCCGCAGCGTGGGTTTGGATGTCTGAAGTAAGGAGATTCAACGCTTCGGGGTTGGGAGTTGAGCTTGGCAAGGCTTTTCGCAGTGTCTGAGAAGAGCTGGAGCAAGGTTCCGCTGCAGCTTTGGATCAGGCGCAGCTCTCCGCGCTGTAGTACCTCGCGACAGATCCGCTAGCTCGCATCTTTACGGTCACTGCGGCGCTTGGATCCAAATCTGAGCCGAGCTTGGAACCTCAAACCGTAGACCTAGGTCACAAACCTGGAGCCCCACAACCCCACACCCCCTACTCCAACCCTGAAGACCGAACGGTGGCCGAACCCAGTCCCAACTCTGTTGTGTTGACGACTTTGGGTGGAGTGTTGCATCGAGCCCTGAGGTAGATTTTGGGCTCTTGTTCACCGTTTGCCCTGTACCCTGAGCCCTTGAGCCGTCGGCCCTCAGCCCCACCTCAAATCCCTGGCCCTCCACCTGTTGGTGATGTGGCGCACTGTGGTATGGCTGTTCCTGGACTTTGCCTCTGCGACGGAGGAACCTCAGCGTTTCAGCCATGCCAAGCACGACGTGATGGGCGATATGTCGCACACTACGACCAAACCTCGCCGTGCATGCCCATTGGGTGCCACTACAGCATTGTAGCACCATCTCCAGTCCCGTAGAAATAGAACAGCACAGAAGACGTACTTTGAGACTTTTGGAGCCGGCAGGAGCCGGCCCAGACATCCTGGCAGCGGAACCTGGTTCGCCAGGCTTGCCTCTGAAGCAAGACCTTCTGACAGACTCTGCTTGACCTGTTGGCGTAGAGGGATCGAGAGTGGTGTGAGGGTCAGCTATTGAATTGATAGCTCTTGGTGCAATTGAACCTCGGCATCTATCTGCATCCGTTCCACGGTTTAGAGATATCTGAGAATTTAGCGCCTCTTCAATGTGCCCCCGCCCCTGCTGCTTGAAAGTTGCATGCTGAGCAGTCCAGCATATGAATATTCCATGGTCTAACGCGAACACTTTGTGTCTCAATCCGAACCACACCATTAGTACATCGTAGTCTCATCCTTTGTTGATTTGGAATTAGCGAGTGTGGCCAGATAGGTGCATGCCACTGCCCGGCAAGCCTCGGCCGCGGCCGAGCAGTCGCTTTATGCTCGCCTAGACAGCCCCTGCGTCTTGCAGTTAGATTGTAGGTTGAGGGTTCGCAGTTAAATTAAAAGGGAACGCAGAGTTCAGATGAATTCGTGGTGAAGAGCAGCGTGTATTGTGCGGAAGATGACTCCATTTGCAAATAGGGTTCGTACAGTGGGACGTCGTGGAATCTGCATTTCCCCCGTTCGCTAGCAAACTCCACGGCCCTAGAAACACCATCACGAAAACTCCAATTAGACCTACTCTGCACAACGCTTCGCACCTAACCCAAACCCCACTGACAGCCTTGTCTCAGCCTTATGCCGAACTCTAAATCCCAGAAACCTCAGTGCAGGCCCATCCTCGCATGATTTTCGAAGAGACCGTCAATCGATGAATCTGCCTAGCGGTCGATCCGGCTGTCAATCTGTCGAACTGTTTGTTCCTTTGCCCACCTAGTCGTCTAAGCATCCGTCTGTCGGCCTGTCCATCATTGCACTATGTCTTTCCGTGTAGATGGAGCTGGTGATTGAACAGAGTTGGAGACTTCAGCGCCTGCATAATGCTTGCACAGAGGTCGCAATCTAGATTGGCGGGGGGCAGCCTCAGCCCCCCCTTTCCCAGCAAGGTAGCGACATCCGGGAAGCCCTGGGCAAGTGCTGTCCATCTGTGCCGTGGCAGCAATTCTTCTTCTCGAGGGAATACGATAGATCTCCGATTCTCGAGGATTAGTGCTTCTGCTTCAGGGAAGAGGCACATGTTCAACAGTGATTGAACAAGTGTACACCAAAAGCCTAGGTTTGAAGAGCTGGTTCAAGCTTTTCTCGGCAAAGGGAAAGGATACGTTCTTTGATTGCTTGGTGTGAGTGTTGCGGGAGAATGCTCGGGCACTCTCACTCTGTCGGCTGCTCTTGCTGTGTCACGATTTGAGGAGGCTCGGCAGTTTCCAGCTGAAGCCACGAACGCCCCAACCCTGGGGGCCCAAGCCCAAGTCAGAACAACCAGAAGACATCGCCTAAAGCCTCAGCCAGAAACCAGGGAACACCCAAAGCTATACCTTCCGGCCGGAACTTACGGTGCCAAGACTTGGGTCTTAACGCTTGGGTGCTTTCGGGTATAGGGATTTGTGCGCCTTCGGCCCTCAGAGTCTTAGGGTCCTGGTTTTCACCATCGAGGCGGCAGTGCTTCCGGCACCCGCTCTGGCCGAGCGCCTGCGAGCGGAGGCGGGTAAGTTGTGATATCGTGCGTCTGATCTGCTCGAGGCGCTCAGGCGTGTTTGGGTTGATCTAGGTTTTTGGAAATTGCACGCTAGGTACGGTTCTACAACTCTGAAACCTTAGCCACAACCCTCCGCCCTGAAAGTTCTGAAGCAAAAGCCTGTAGGTGGAATGAAGCCTAAGCTTTGGAGTGACATCTCGCATTTCCGATCTGAAGCCCATCAACCTGACGATCCGGCATTCGTGCGTCTCGGCCAGGTGCGCAGCGCAGAGGTGGTCTCAGGCTTCAGCGCACAGGCCTGCCTTCTCCTCCTAGTTATATCTAGTATACCGCACCTCCCAACTCAGGAAAATTGCATCTGGGGTCAGAGGGCACTAAGCTCCTCTCGAAAGTCGGGCCTTTTCAGGTCAACGCTTCGTGGTTCTCATTCTCTTTGGATGAGGCGGAAAGGATTCCGTATTACGAGTTGCTTGGCTCGGATTCAGCGAAAATTACGTGCAGCACCCGCCTTGGAGCAACGCTGCATGAGAGAATCGTGGATCCTGCTTCCTGTAAGAACTTCTACACGCAAGAATCCTAGAAAATTCGCATGATGTACACAACCCCTACACCGAAGAAAGATGACCAGGAATCTGTGGGAGATCTGGGTGCGGAATCGTGCAGAACTGTCTAACTACAGCTTCGGCTTGGACTGGATCGAGCGCCTCGGCACTTTGCTATAGCGCACTCTCTTCTCAGCTCAGGGCTAAAGCTACTTGCAGAGGTCTTGCCCACCACAACACTTGTTTAGACCGTGTTGGGAGAGGCCACAGAGGTCACTGGAAGAGTTCATTCTTTACTCTGGAGTATGGCGGAGAGCTCGAAACCCGCTCCAGCCCCATGGCTCTGCTGGAACAAGTGTCAAGGCTCCGGGGCCCCGAAACTTGGGTTAGTGCTCTGCCGCATGGTACTCAGCCGCTTCAAGCTCTCCTCAATCCTGACGGGGGGGCTTCGGAGGTCCGTGGTGTTTTAGAGGTTAGTGTTCTGCGGGGTCGCCGTTGGTGCCATCGCTGGCTCAACCTGTCCGCAAAGGGCGGCCTACTTTGGCTTCAAGCCATTCGAAGTTCATGCCGAGCCCAGGACTGGCGGACATTGCAGCGACATCGGTGTGGAAGTGTTGAAGGTTTCAGGCATAGTGATTGAACTAGATCTTGTGTGAAACGACTCTCGACTAAAACTGTCTTCGTAAAAATCAGTGAGCTCCGGCTCGCCCTAGTTGTCTGAACTCGGCGAAGGACAATGGCAGAAGCCAGGGAACGGGCACCTTACTTCGCGCTCAATGCTCTGCGAACGGATGCTGGTAGCCCTCTGTGCCTCGTGCTCCATTCGTATTTCCTGAAGGTGTTTGGGCGATGGGTGGAGCTGGGGAGGGTGTTCGTCATACAAAGGTTTCTTGCTTGCAGCCGACATGTTTGGACCAATCTCAGCACCCCCCAGGTCAACTACAGCTCCTGAATCGTGTGTTGGCAATGCTGTGTAGCTGTCATGACCGTTCACATTCAATCAAGAAGCAACTTCTGTTTATGTTACATGTGTCATCCCAGTCACCAACCTTCAAGCCAACAAATGCAATGAAAGCCCCAGACAATGCCAAATATCACTTCCGGCCTTGAGCAATGCGAACCCATCCATCCATCCCTCCCCTCCCTCCCTCCCTCCCTCCCTCCCTCCATCTATCCATACATCCATCCATCCATCGTGCATGCTTGCTTATGTTTGCCGCAGAAGCGTAGCTGCAGTGCCGTGGCTAATGATGCAGTAAGACAACGCACGATACTACATGCGCTCTAAGAGGTCAGGAGTGAATGCTTTTGGGGCATTGGGTTTGGTGCCTTGCGGCATTGGACTTTGAGTGACGATGCCAATCGGTTCTGTTCGGATTCAAGGTTGGCGTCTAGACTGGCTGCTACATGGTTTAAGCAACGCGGAAGTTGTAGAGATGGCCGCTTGTCCGTTTCGGAGGACTCTGGCTTTGGTTTCGCTCTTTTACACAATGATGGTTGCTGCGCCTGAGGTATGGCGACATCACAGTTGTTCTCCGGCCCAGCGTGGCAAATGCGGTCTCCATCGTGTCGGCGTTCGACACGGGACCCTCCACCCACGGCTCAAGTACTTGACATCCTATGCGCTTCTGATTGCAGGTTTCACTCCGTACACTTGTACCGTTCAGGAAGCTGGGCCGGAATGTGCAACAACTCCTTCACGCCTCCAGCTGGAGGCGCATTGGCTCCAGGCTCCAGGTGTGTGTACATATACATATATGTATAGATGCCTATGTCTGCAAGTTTTTGTCACAGGTTAGGAGTTTGGGCTTTCCTTTTGTGCTTAAGCTTTTTACAGAATGGAGAACCAGGGAGAGGTTCCTTGCACAACAAACAGTTTCTCGAGATGGGAACTCGGAAGCCTCATGTGCTTTGGACAAGGATGGCGCAGGCATGGGCAAGACAGCACGACAACCACGACGATCAACAGCCAGTGCCACATGATAAAAGAAGAGAAGACTTTGCATGACTACCATGGCAAGATCTATGCCTGCATAGATCTTCAAAACCAATATACGTCTGCATCGATCTTCAAAACCAAGAAGCCAGGACCTCATGAGGTCCAAGCGCGGAGCCTTCAACTGTGGCCTTTCAACCTCCAACGTCGCGACCGCATTCCGGATAGATGAGCTTTGGAAGTGTAGCTTCAGTGTTTGGTAGGATTTCGGTACATGCGTGGAGCCAAAAGCATGCCGATATCCCATCGTAGAGCCTTGCATCCGGATCGCTGTGAGCTCGGAAATCTCAAAACCAAAATCCAATCTTAAAATCCCTATGCAATTTTCGGGACTCGCATTTTGAACTCCACGTAGAGTCTAAGAGGCTTCGATCACAACTGCTCGGCCTATCCTGGGCATGCCGGCCTGGGAAGCCTCGAGGCCCATTGCTTAGGGTTTAAAGGGTTTAGGGGGTTTAGGGTTTAGGGTTTGGGGTTTAGGGTTTAGGGTGTAGGGTTTGGGGCTTTAGGGTCTCGGGTTTAGAGTTTATACGGTTGAGGGGTGCTCTGCGGGGTTTTGCAGGCGATGCCGCAGGGCTGTTTCTGAAGAATCTGCGAAAGAAACATGGGTACCTTTCTAAGGGAGCCCACATTTTGGCCAGCTGGAATTTTGGGTTCTACTAGGCTGCGTCTCTGATGCACAGTTGTCTATGATACTTCTACATGATTATTCTAATATTGCAGGTTATGCTTGCAGGAACTTTCGAGTTGCACGAGGGTCCGCTCGAGAGCCGAGGCTTTTGATCATTTGCTTCTCACCAACGAGCAGTACTGGCACAATGCGCACCCCAACTTCCGATTGGATGACTACTGACAGAGCGCGCGTCATCTTCAGGGCCTGAAAAGCTCGTTGCAGGTAGTCTTCTCATGGTGATTACATAGGAACAGCAAAGTTGATCCTGTAAGTTTCCTCGTTGTCGTCCCTGCCGAGCCGCCGAGCCCAGGGATCATGCGAGCGGCTGCTAAAGCCATAGAAGTCCGGAACTTGATGGCTGGAAGGGATCGTCAGAGGAAGAAGGCCAAACCTCAACCTTGAGCCCCGAAGCCTGGGGTCCTCAAGGAATGTCACCGATCCAAACATCAAAAGACGCAAGTGTATAAGAGCTAGTAACTAGGCACCATGCCAGAAAAAGTTGCAGCATTGCTTTGATCCAAGGCTCCGAAACAGTGTCTGAACTACCAAGCACAGACGACGAAACCCATCCACCGCCGCCCCTTCGCAAATTGCAAGCTGAAAACACTTGACCTGAACCCGAAACAATACACCCACAACCAATAGCCTAGAACCGCAGAAGAGGCTGCAAAAATCTGCTATCGAAGGCACACACTGGAGCGGCTCCTGGTGCGTACCCTTAGCCCAAGCTCGACGCTGACGGGTCCGGACTTCGTCCACTACTTCGAGGCCAAAAGCTTTGGCTCAGGGTGGGAGTTTCGGGCTCGTCGAGCTTGTAGGGGCCGAGTGCCCGATTTGGGACGATCTTTTTTTGCTTTCTGAAGCCGTGGGATTTAGGTTTCCAGGTTATGGAAGGTTCAGGCACCACACGTTTATTATTAGAGTCCACGAACGCACATGTCCGCGATGAGAACAGGACGTCGGCGGTGCAAAACTGGATTGTGATGATTGACCAAGGCGTATGGAAGGCATGAGAGTGCAATTTGTTGACTATTGAGGCCCCTGGTACTTCGGTACTGCTGCTGCTGCTGCTGCTGCTGCCGCTGCTGCTGCTGACCGTGTGCGGCCGCTATCGCTGCTGCTGCAGCTGCGGCTGTTGCTGCATCTACTTCTGCTTCTGCTGCCATTACTGCTAGTGCTACGACTACGACGACGACCACTACCAACGCTACCACCACTAGCACCACCACGACCACTACCACTCCTACGACTACTACTACCACCCACTACCACCACTGCCACTACTACCACTACTACCACTACTACTACCACTACTACTACCACTACCACTAGCAGTACTACTACTACTACTACTACTGCTGCTACTACTACTACTACTACTACTACTACTACCTGCTACTACTACTACTACTACTACTACTACTACTACTTCTACTACTACCTACTACTACTACTACTACTACTACTACTACTACTACTACTACTACTACTGCTACAACTACTACTACTACTACTACTACGACGACGACGACTACTGCGACGACTACGACTATTACTACTAAC